GAAGGGATGGCAGTCCCAGCAACAGGCCGGCCATTGGCACGGAGGCAAAATGCTGGCTTGTGATTGGCTCTTGCCACGGTCAGGATGGAAGATCTCCTGGCGGGGTGGGGCGTGGCTGAGCCGCGGCCCCGCCTAGCTCACATCCGGGTACCTGGGCATCCCGGAATGGCCAGAGATGGGGTAGTGGTCACTCTAGGATGGCTTGCACACGCAGGTAGCACAATCCTTCGTCTGAAGTTCAGGTGTTTAGGGAGGGGTGAGGGTACTCAGACACTCGGGAATGGAGATCTCTGATTGGCGGGGCTCGAGGTCGCTGCTGCCCTCAGGGTCCTTTAAACAGACACCCGCACTAACAGGGACAGCTGCAGAACTGGCAGTGTCCACCAGGAGGTAGCAGAGGACGATGGTGCTGGAGTCCCTGAGCGTTTTGGAGAACAGATCCCAGACTTGGGCCAGGAAGACTCCTGAATCCCAAGCACCCCCGCCCCCGCCCCAACCCTAGCACTCAGCCTCTTTGTACCAGGTAATAGTTCAGGGTCAAGCCAGTTAACACTGTTGCTTCCTTAGCCTGTATGTGTGAGACAAAGAGAGACAGAGAGACAATATGTATGTGTGTGAGAGGGAGAGGGTGTAATTGTATAGCTCTGGGTGACCTGGCTTCGAACTCACAGCACTCCTTACCTCCTCCTTCAGAGACTACAGATGAATAACTCCTCCCAGGGTCTGGCAGGGCTTGCGGTTTTTTGTTTGTTTGTTTTTGTTTTTGAGAGCAGGTCACACGCAACCCAGGCTAGTCTCAAATTTACAGAAGCTGGCTTGAACTCCAGGTCTTCCTGCCGACCCCCCCCCACACACACACACACAATTACTTTTGTACGTCATCTTTTCATTTTATTTCCGAGACTTGGCTTCATGGAATCCAGGCTAGTCTTCATCATATTCTTGCAATTTTAAAAAAGATTTTGTGTGGGTGCGTGTACACAGGCATATGTGGAGGCCGGAAGAAGCTGCTGGACTCTCCTGTCACTTCCTACCTATTCCTGAGGCAGGGTCCTTTTCCTGAGCCTGGGATCTGAATTTCCTCAGCGAGCCTGGAAGCCAGCAAGCTCCAGTTGATGGCGTTGTGGCGCTCAGGTCACTGGGCTTGCCAAGTGGATGCTGGGTCCTGGTGATTGCACATGCGCACATGGAGCCCCAGCCCTCAACCTTAACTGATCGTCAGACCTCCCAGAGTGTTGGGGTTTCAGGTGTGCCGCACACCTGGTTTCCGCCGTCCTGAGGATGGAACGCAGGACTCCGTGCATGTTAAGCAAACACTCTACCAACGGAGCTCCAGCCCATGTTCTGTTATTTTATACTTACCCGGCTTTGTTTTGTGCACGACCACTAGGTTATCAGTCTTTGGCTCATGCTTTTAATCCCAGCATTAGGGAGGCGGTGAGGGTAAGGGGCTGAGTTTCCAGGGCAGCATGGTCTACATAGTGAGACCCTGTCTGTTGGTTGCTAAATCTGTCTTGACCCTAATTCAAGCGATTCCGGGCCAGGTAAAGATTTCTCACGGTTCTGTTACCCCCGCCTTACTCCTCGCAGGCTGAACTCGAGAAGGGATGGCAGTATTTCCAGCAAACAGCATTGCAGGACGAGGCTGGCAGTCTTCCATTGCAGGAAAAACCCCTTCTTTTTTCCTGGTTCTTTGGAAACAGGGTTTCTCTATGTAGCCCTGACTGACCAGGAACTTGCTCTACTGTAGACCAGGCTGGCCTTGAACTCAGAAATCTGTCTGCCTCTGCTGTGATTAAAGGTGTGTGCCACCATTCAACTGGCAAAACTTCTAACTGGTATGGAAAAAGTACCTTTAGAAAGCACTACTGCAGCCGGGCGGTGGTGGCGCATGCCTTTAATCCCAGCACTCGGGAGGCAGAGGCAGGCAGATCTCTGAGTTCGAGGCCAGCCTGGTCTAGAAGAACTAGTTCCAGGACAGGAACCAAAAAAAAAAAAAGCTACGGAGAAACCCTGTCTCGAAAAATAAAAAAAAAAAAAAAAAAAGCACTACTGCTCTGATACGCCACATGAGATCCAAACAGCTGACTGTCCTCCAACTAAGAACACTAGGGCATAACTTGGTGCCGGTCCCCCATCAAGGGGTCACTCAGCCAAAACATTTGTCTAGCATTCCCTAGTGACTGGCTGGGGTAGGGATGTAAAGAGATTTTTTTTAAAAAAGATTATGTTAGCGTTCTGCCTGCATATATGCCCGAACACCAGAAGAGGGCACTAGATTTCATTATAAATGGTTGTGAGCCACCTTGTGGTTGTTTAGGATTGAACTCAGGACTTCTGAAAGAGCAGCCAGTACTTTTTAAAACCATTTTTTATTTTTATTTTATGTGCATTTGGTGTTTTACCTGGATAAATGTCTGTGTGAGGTTATTAGATCTTGGGTGCTGGGAATTGAACCCAGGTCCTTTGGGTAAACAGCCAGTACTCTTAACCACAGAGCCATCTCTCCAGTCCCTTGTTATTTTTGAATCACATAGAGCCAGATTTTCACGAGGGGATCTTGCAGTTGTGGGTTTTGAGGTTTGGGTTGTTGGGGTGGTTCTGAGGATAGAACTCAGTGATTCAGGCACTCCTTAAGAATCACTCTACCACAGGGCAGTGGTGGCGCACGCCTTTAATCCCAGCACTTCCAGAGGACCCAGGCTCAAGTCCCAGCACCCATACCTCGGTACCGGATACTCTCACACAGACATGGATGCAGGAAAAACACCAAGGCACACAAAGTAAAAAAATAAATAAATAAATAAAATCCAGTCATGTCCATCACATTGGTGGCCAGACTCCAACAATGCAGATTCAAAATGAAGGTGTCTCTCAGACATGCCTGTTCTGAGGTCCCTTGGGAGCATGGGGAGCTAGTTTCCTGGCCTTGTCTTTGGAGGCAGGATGACTCCAAACCAGCAGACTGACCTGACCAAGCACACACGGGAGGTGGGGTGGGAGTCAAACCTCCCTCTCTGGGCGCTGGCAATACCCACTGCTGCCCAAGAGCTGGGCAAAGCCTGGAGGACAAAGCAAAGTCTCCAGCCATTGGAGTGGGTGTGGTGACCAAAACCTGTCATCTCAGAATTTGGGAGGTAGATGCACAATTAGGAGTTTGAGGCCAACCTGGGCTACATAGAATCCTATCTCTGTCTCACACACAGATCAGTTCGGTTTTTGTTGTGTGGAGGGTAGGGGGTGGTTTGGTTTTTTTGAAACAGAATCTTACTCTGTAGCCCTAGATGACCTTCAACTCAGAAATCTGCCTGTCCCTGGCTGAGATTAAAGTCTCTGTACCACCACACCCGGCGGGTTTGGGGTTTTGTTTTGTGGTTTTGAGTCAGGGCCTCTCACTCTAGCCCAAGCAGTTCCCCATTTCAGGTTGCTTATCTGACATTCTGAATATCAGGTATTTACCTGCGATTCCTAACAGGAGCTAACAAGAATTTTATGGTTGGGGTCACATGAGAAACTGTATTTAAGGGTCACAGCATTAGAAGGTTGAGAATAGTGGGAAGGTTGCCCTGGGAAGGCTCTGTCTTGTGTGATGTGAACCAGTCACCCTTGCTCTCTCCAGATATCCAGTTTATGACCAGGCCAAATTTGTGGTCACTCAGATTTAACTGTAGGCTCCCGAGACCCGGAATGAGGATGGCTGCAGGCTCACTAGGCACACTGTCTGTCCAAGCGGTCTGTCCTACCTCAGGGTCCTGATTAGTCTGCTGGTTAATGTCAACACCCAGAAATAGAGACCAGCATTACCCGGTTAGTTTTCAGAGGCCATTTCCCCAAGCTTGCTCTGAGGTCTAGGCTGTCATTCTTAGCCACCCAGATCACTCTGAGTCAACACGCAGACTCAGCTGACCAGTGTCAAGGCCAACACATGTGGTAATCACATATAAATAGAGTGGAGAAAACACTTCAAACAGCAATGTATCTGCTGGGCAGAAAGGTCCCGCCATGATCCCACCTCCAAAGTTCTTGGATGCTGCTAGCTCTACCTGGGTGGAGAGGGGTCCCGAACACATGGTTAGGTCACTCCCCCATTCCTGTCCATCACCTTTTCTTCAATGCTTTTTTGTTTTGTTTTTGAGACAGGCTCTCCCTGTTGGTTGTCTAGCCTGGCTTTGAACTTGAGACTCGATGTCAGGCTCCAAGGTGCTTTGTGCCTCTTGGACAGTATATTCTAAACCAGCCCGCAGCAGAGGTACTGGCATCAACTCCCAGCACTAGGTGGCTGCCAGACAGGATGGATGACGGCCTTCATTTTAAACAGCCTAAGTGACAGGGACTAGACCCCGTCTCAAAACATGAAAACAAGAGCCCTACCCTGGTCCCTAGCATCTGTCTATATGGGCCTCACCCCAGGCTCGGCTCATCCATCCCTCTTAAATGCTTCTGATGCAGAAATGTCAACAGAACCATCAAAAGGGAGACGTGCACCTGAGTCCGGAGGACCTTCAAGGTGCTGGAATACAGAACTGCTAGGACTGAACGTGGCCAGCTAAACTACTTCTTGTGTCCCCAGAAGAGTCATGAAGACTGGGCTACCCTCAAACTCATGGAGCTCCCCCAGCCTCCGTCCTAGGTGCTGGGACTAGAGGCACATGCCATCACACCTGCATCACTTCTCGGGTTCTTGAGACAAGTGTCCCACTGTAGAATATAGGCCGGCCCTGTGTTTGTAACCCTCCTGCCTCAGACCCCCAAGTACTGGGATCACAGGTGTAAACCTCCACACTCAACTTGCTTTGTCATTTGTGTGTGTGTGTGGTGCCCATCTGCCAGACAAGTGCTCTACCACCGAGCACCACCCACGCCCTGATTTTTATGTATCCTCATGCCCCCACAGCACCACCCAGCCTCATTCCCGAGTGGGGGTGGAGGACACCCACTTCCAATCAAGCCCTTAACAACAAAGCAGTTAAGGCCTATTAAATGGAGCCGGAGCACCGCCATCAGGATCTGCACGTTTATTTTGCTCAATGTACGACGGCTACACAGTGACTCACATTCATGAATATTCCATCACTGAGGAAAACTGCTAAGAATGGTCCGTGTGCGAAATAATTCCTTAGCGAAACACGGAGTTGGGGGGAAAATCACTTGATTAGACCTTAAAGTAGTTCACTGCATACATGACGAGAAAGCACGGGCAATCGGAGAGCGTCCGCGGCGTTCTCCTGCACTGCAATAGTTAGGATTTCACCATGACAAACACCAGACATTAAGAGTAAGCTAACACTGGTGTTTCTTTAGTTCCCTCCCCCCGAAAAACAAAATATAGAACTGCATGTCACTATAGCAACATCCAAAACAGATCAATTTGTTACAATCACTATTGTGGTAAAGCAAACTTTACCCTGAAAGGAAAAAAAATTAAATTAAAAAAAAAGTTTAAAAAATTTTGAAGTCTTAGTTTTTTTGTCATAGGAATACATAACACCTACAGTATAAGTTAATAAATGTCAAGCTACCGCATAGGAATGCAACACCAGCATGCACAAATACTGTATCAAGAGGACGGAGAGCAACCGCGGCACTGGAGACAGCGTCAGAGGCAGGTGCGCTTCTCAACAGTAACGGAGAGGAGAAGAAACCATCCAAGCTCAAACATCAGGTCCCGCTCTTCCCTCTTCAGTTCTACCCTCACATGATTTTTCTAGAACGCAGCCAGGGTCAAGGCTGACACTGAAAGAGAAACTAGGTTTTGCAATTCCAGTAGGTCATTTCCAAACACCACAGGCGGGACAAGGACATGCTCACTGCGGACAGAAACAGACTAGGTAAAGTCCCACTGGCCCCTCTGTCCATGGCGGCTCTGGCGGCCAAGCTTCCTCCAGCCGTTCTTCCGTGGGCCTCGGTTAGTGGGTCCTTGCGCACTAACAAAGGAGGGGCCTCTGAGGAAAGGCATGCTAGGGCTGTGCAGAGGGCACTCACTTCGTAAGTGGAAGCTTGGTTTTGGTATGAGAAAAGGTGGCTGCCAGGTCTTTGAACATGAGGAAACCAAGTCTGGGGTGCTGCCCATCTTGGGAATCCACGCGACCATGGATCCTTTAGAAGACAAACTGCACACTCCCCATGCAACAAGGCATGTTTTGGGGTAACTTATCCACAGTGAGAATGAGGGACCTAGGACTCTAAGGGAGACGGACCAAGTAGGACATAGCAGCACAGCTTCCGTCAATGTCACATGTATAGTGACCTCACGATTGAGAAGCCCATCTCCAGCATCTATGCTTTCATTCAAAAGGAAAACAGGAAAGCTCAGATCAGACAGCCGCTGAGCACTGCCCCTGGTGAGCACTGCCCCCGGTGAGAGCATCAGCTACCCTTCACCAAGCACTTGGAGAAGGAGTGCTGGGCCGTGGGAAGGGGACAAGGACAACTGACCTGGGGACCGGGCTCCCACCCTGGACAGGCTTGAGTGAAGCTGTCTCTTCCCAGTGGGTTTCCTGCTGGCTCAGCTGTTTGCACCTGACGCTCCTCTTTCTTGATGATCACCCAGCCCTACACTCTAATCCAGTGGCCTCGAGACACCTGCCCGCTGCCAGCACAAGGCGCGGGGGAGACTCAGTGCTGAGAAACCAAGACAGGCAGTGACTGAGGAAGGAGCCCCGGCTGCTGCAGAGCGGAGTCTCTGAAAATACCAACATGAGAAACGACATACAGACCTGATTCTTCTCCATCTTCTCTGTGTGTGCTGCTTAACAGTTTCTGTTTGTGATGGGTTTAACTTAAAGAGTTTAAAAAAAAAAAAAAAGAAAGAAAGGTATCCACGGCCAGTCACCTGCCAAGCACCCATTAACCACACCCAAGAGGAAGTTCTGATTCTCAGCATGAAGGAGCCGAGGAACCGTCAGACCAACCTGGATACAGTGGAATACGGATGCAAAGCTGAGCTGACAAAGAAAAACCCAGAACCAATGGCTTGATGTCGTGTATGGCTGTCATGTAGAAATACTGTAAACTAGAATTTAGTGTTAATACTGTTAACCTATCAGACTTCAGACTCGGGGCCAGGCCTGACCCGTCAGTAAAGCTTGTGTTTTCCACAATAAGCCTGTCCACTTGGGCAATTTAAACTATGCTTTCTCTGGTAGAGATCACCCTGGGGAAAGGGGAAACAAAACAAAACAAAAACCCAGCACAGCCACAACAGAGAGAAAACAGCCAAGCTGAAGAGGAGAGCGTATGGACGTAAGAATCCTTCCTGGAACCACAGAACACACTGAATGAGGGCCATCCGTCTCTGGTTTCTCTTCTCATCTTAAAACCCTACCGTCTAGCAATAAGTTAAACTAAAGGCAGACAGCTCCACTTGCACGAACCTGCACGACAGTCCGGGTGCCCGTGTGAGGCTGCTACTCCGATACCAGCACAGCAAGCCTGACTTTCCACTAGTGGTATTTTGGCAAAAATGTCAAAGAGGCGATCAAAGACAGGACAGTCGTGGGTTTCTCCCTGGGAAGGTCAGCCCTCCCTTTCCCCTCCCCCACCCGACCCCCAACTCATGGGAAAAAAATAAAGACTGCAGTAGTAGCATCAGCGTGCGCTGCCAGTCCACCTGGGCCTTAATTGTTGCCTTCGCCGCCGTCGTCATCTTGCTGGTCGCTCGTCCAGAGCGTTAGGTTGTCTCGGAGCAGCTGCATGATCAGAGTGGAGTCCTTGTAGGAGTCCTCGTTCAGAGTGTCGAGCTCGGCGATGGCATCATCGAAGGCGGTCTTGGCCAGGTGGCACGCCTGCTCCGGGGCATTCTGGATCTCGTAGTAGAAAACGGAGTAGTTAAGCGCCAGGCCCAGCCGGATGGGGTGGGTGGGCTGCATGTGCTCCTTGCTGATCTCGTGGGCTTCGCTGTAGGCCTTCTCAGATGACTCCACCACGGTCGCCCTTTTCTCCCCAGTGGCCACTTCAGCCAGGTAGCGGTAATAGTCCCCTTTCATCTTCAGGTAGAACACCTTGCTCTCATACTGGGTCTCGCTGCAATTCTTGATCAGGTAGTTGTCCAGCAGGCTCAGCACATCCTGGCACACGGCCTCCAGCTCCTTCTCGATCTTCTCCCGGTAGGCGCGGACCATCTCTATCTTCTTCTCATTGCCGTCCGCGGAGGTCTTCTGCTCGATGCTGCTGATGACCCTCCAGGAGGAGCGGCGAGCCCCCACCACGTTCTTGTAGGCCACTGACAGGAGGTTCCGCTCCTCGTTGGACAGCGGTTCATTCAGCTCTGTCACCTGGAGAAGAAGGAACCAAGCATCTTTAGGACACGAGAGGATGGCAACGGGAAGAGCATACCCTCCCACCAGCCCACCCACAACAGGTCCTTCAGCTGCCCAGAGAGCTAGCAGCAGAAAGATGAACTGTGCTCTGCTGGGCAGACGGGGACGAGGCGACAGAAAGGGAGCAAGGCAGTGAATTCCACAGCAGTGAGCAGAGTGTGCCCCCAGAGTGCCTGTCAGTCCAGGTCTTACACAAGCCAGATCCGCCAAGTGCAAACGTCAAGAGCTCTCGTGTGCCATGGGCAATGCTAGCGTGAGACGGCCGTGTACGTCCTCAGCCTGCCCTGTCCCCTTGACCCCTAGGCCCTCTGGGAAAGAATTAGTCACCCTCAAACTGACCTTTGAGGAAAAAAGAGGAACTTTTCCTGCTCCTTCACTAACACCAAACAAATGACATATCACAGAAAGGAAGTCAACACTGGGCGACTGCGCCAGACAAGATGGCTCAGAGGGTAAAGTCGCCTACTGTCAAGCCTCACAACTGCGATCTGACCCTGGGATCCACAGTGGCGAGAACTGATTCTCCCAAGTTGTCCACGACCTTTACATGTCATACAAATGTGCTCCCCCAACACACATAAAAATAAATGGAATAAAGAATTTAAAAATGAGGCCAGGCAGTGGTGCCAACATGCCTTTAATTCCAGCACTCAGGAGTAAGAGGCAGGTGGATCTCAGTTCGAGACCAAACTGGTCTATAGAGTAAGTTCCAGGACAGCAAGGGCTACACAGAGAAACCCTGTCTCTAAAAAATGGGCTGGAGAGATGGCTCAGTGGTTAAGAACACTGGTTGCTCTTCTAGGACCGTAGATTCGATTCCTAGCACCTACATGATAGCTCACAACCACATGTAACCACAAGACCAGGGGTTCTGATGCCCTCTTCTGACCCCTGCGGGTACTAGGCACACATCACATATAGTACAGACACAGGTAGGCAAAACATCCCCACACATAGAATCTTTGAGTTTGAGGCCAGTCTGGTCTACATAGTAAGTTCAAAAGAGAACGGGACTAGCAACTTAAGACTCTGATCACGTGGGACTGCAGCGGGCCGAGGAACTGGACTAATGGTCTCTACCACCTCTTGGGGCTGGGCCACAGCTAAGCAGCAGAGTCCTGTCCTCGTGCTCCACTGGGGAAAACAAGAAGGGACAAAAGAGGCAGCCACTTGGTGCTGGAGATGGAACCCAGGGTGACAAGCACACTGCCATCCTGCCACTGCACCACGCTGAGCCCAGTATGTGATGCTAACCTCTGGCCTTCTTCATTTCAATACAGTCAAGAAGAGGAAAGATCCAGGCTCTGGTTCTGCTAAGACTCAAAGAAGGAAGTCAAGCAAGAAGCACTTTCTGCTCTAAGACTTATTATTCCTTGCCAACTGCAGCCTGAAGGATACAGGCTGCCATCACCTCAGTCAGGTTCCTGCTGCTGTGAGGAACACAGGACCAAAACCAGTATTTCTTCTTAGAGCTCTCAGCTCACACTGTTTTTTTTTTTTGGGGGGGGGGCGGCATCAGGCAGGAAGCTTGGAGGTGGAGACCATGGAAGCTTGTTCTTCTTGACTTACTCAACTTATACTTTTCAAGACCCCCCCCTCCCACCCAGGGGTGGCACCACCCACCACGGGCTGGACCTTCATCTATCACTATTCAAGAAAACACTCCAGAAGGGCAATGGTGGTGCACACCTTTAATCCCAGCACTCGGGAGGCAGAGGCAGGCGGATCTCTGTGAATTCGAGACCAGCCTGGTCTACAGAGCTAGTTCCAGGACAGGCTCCAAAGCCACAGAGAAACTCTGTCTCGAAAAACCAAAAAGAAAAAAGAAAAAAAGAAAACACTCCACAGCTTTGCCCACAGATGACTCTAGCTTGTGTAAAGCTGACAAAACAAAAAACCAAGAAAACAACCTCCCCTAAAAAAAAAAAAAAACAACAACAAAAAACAAAAACAAAGCACCTGACCTTGACCTTTCAATTCCTCTGCTTTAGCCTCTTCAAGCTGGCCAACTTGCCTCACTCCTACTCAGTTCTAAGGCCTATTAAGTCAGTACAAAATTCCCAAAGGGGGAGCTTGTTGAATGACCTCCATTTTTCTGCTCTGTGTGGTCATCATTACATCTTAGGTAGTGTTGGGGAGCGAGTCCAAGGCCCCTGACATGCTAAGCCAGCCCTCTATCCACATTCTTATTATACATGTTCATGGCTATCCTCAGTTAGCCTAGCTGTGGTGGCACTCCTGTCCTGTAATCCCAGCACTTGGGAGGCAGAGGCAGGTGGTGCTTGAGGGTAATCTGGTCTACAGAGGGAGTTCCTGGGAAACCAGGGCTACATAGAGAAACCTTGTCTCAAAAAAACAAAACAAAGAGAGAGACTCTAACATAGCCCTGGCTGATCTCTAACTTATCACCTGTCTCTGGCTCTAGCCCCCATGCAGACACGCAGTGCTGAGGTGTGGGATGGCGCCTTTGAGAGACCTTGACTATTCTTCACTCAGCACCAGCACCCCACAGAGGCACCTCTGAGGTCTTCCTGGAGTCTCTTTGGCCTGACATTTTAGCTCTTTATATTTCTTCCATGAACCCCAACAGCAGCCTGTAAAAAACAAACTCCTAGGACAGACTTGGACCCAGGTCCCTGAGGCTCTCAGGCCACCAGCCCCTGGCCTGTTCTCTGGTCTTTGCGGAAACTAAAGGCCTGCTGCAGTGCAACCCAATCACTGTCTCGGATGCCAGGACAGCTCAAGTGCCTGCAGCCATAGAGATCCAGTTCTGGCCTTTGCCCTAAATCATGCTGTCCTTATTTCAAGAGCCTGGCGCTATTTAAAGCTCCGGTGACCTCATCAGCACACTCCACTGGCTCTGCTCTTGCTGCAGGACTTCTGGCTGCAGAGTTCAGAAGCAGCAGCGGGCAATTATAGAGACAGAGTTTAAGACTCCTTGCCGCCAACTGCAACATGGAGATTGCGCAAGGCCAACAAAAAACCTTTAGCTAGAGTAACTCAGCCACATCTGGAACAGTCTCCATGTTCCCTGCCAGTGAAAACTAAGTTAGAGGGAAACCTTAGGCTCTAAGACGTCTGCTCAAAGAACAAGAAGGAGCCAAGGGGCAGACCTGCAATCCAGGCCACTAAGGGGGCAATGTAAGGCCAGCTCAGGCTACAAATCAAATTCCAGAACGATCAGAGGTACACAGAGACCCTGTTGCAATTTCAAAACAAAAATGAAGGTCAACTGAAGTCAGGAAGGGAGATGGCTCAGCATTTGAGAGCACTTCTCAGCGGATTCAGGTTTGGCTCCCAGATGCACACAACAGCCTATAACCTTCTTTAACTCCAGTCCAAAGCACCCATAACCAGGCATGCTCACACACGTATGTACAAACACAAAAGACACTTAACCATGCTATCTATGGTCCTCTTTTAAAACTTTCTCAATTTTAATTGTGTACACCTGAGTGCAGGTGTCTTCGGAGGTCAGAAGTGGGCAGCGGGTCCTGTGGAGCTGAAGTTACAGGCAGTTGTGAGCTACCCCATGTGAGTGCTGGGAACCAAGCCTAGTCCTCTGCAAGAGCAGCACACACTCTAACCACCAAGCTATCTCCAGGCCCCAAACATTTCATTTATGTGTATGACTGTTCTGCTTCATGTATGTAGGTGCACCGTGTGTGTAGTGCCTAAAGGTGCCAAAGGAGGATACTGGAACTGGAGTTACAAATGCTTGTGAGCTGCTGTATGGGTGCTGAGAACTGAACCTGGATCCCCATCAAAAGCTCTGTGGGAATCAGAGGAAAACTTTGTAGAAGTTCATCCTTCCTTCCATCATTTGGGTTCCAGAGACTGAACTCAGACCCTTGGGCTGGAGGCAGGAACCTTACTAGGTGAGTCATATACTGGCCCCAAAGCCTTTTTGATTTGTTTTGTTTAAAGAGGGGGAAAAAAATCTAGTGGTATTCAAGAGGCTCAACCACGATAGCCCCGACACTAGGAGGGAAGGGTTAGCTCCACCACGAAATGGTCCCTCCGCCCCCCTCCATTCTGGTCACAAACCTCACTGTGTAGCCTCGGCTGGACTGGAACTCACAAAGCTCTGCCTCCTGGGTGCTAGGAACAGGTGTCCTTCACGTGCCCCCGTCTATCATGTGAACATGATCAAAGGCTACCTTCTCCATAACTAGAAAGGGTAGAGAGTCCAAGTCCCCGTTTTTCAGAGCTGTGTGTTCTGCCTAAACACAACTGAGACAGTGGAGACGGACAAGAGTGCCAGCCTGGAATCATTCAAAGATGCTGGGTTTAATCTGCAGCATTGTGTGTGTGTGGGGGGGGGGGGCACGCTTTCTGAACTCCTAACTCAAGTTCAAGTTTCTGTTAGTGACTGAAAATGGCAGAAATAAAAAATTTTGAGTAAAAAGGGTTGAGAATCTGTGATTCTCACCATGTCAAGTCTGTTCGAAAGGAGCCAGGCAGTAGTAATGCCAAAGGTTCTCCCCTCGAGTTCTTACAGCAGTACACAATCTTCCCTAAGATCAGCAACTATGGAGATCCTGGAGTAGCTACCTAATGGCTTTGACCTTAAAGCCCTGGAGTACCAGGTCATTCACACACACACACACACACACACAACACTGGGCCAGCTAAGAATAAGGACGGCCATAGCGGCACACACCTTTAATCCCAGCACCCAGGAAGCAGGGGCTGGAGCTCTCTGGGAATCTGAGGCTAGCCTGCTTCACCTAGTGAGACACACACACACTTTCTCTCCATAGGCATGCATGGGCATCTACAGAATGTTCTAGAATGTTCTGCTTAGTTATAGTGATGTGTGTATTGTACAGATGGCCCATACTTACTAAATAATAAACTAAAACTTGAGAAATGCTGTACCTTGGATAACTGAAGAGCATCTGTGCAGAAGAGTTGAGAGACAGCTTCAGCACTGCTATCTTTAGAAGGCCTCT